CAGCTTGCAACATATCATTGATATGCAGAAGAAACAGCGTTGGTGATAGCACGCAGCCTTGTGGAACACCAGCGTTAATAGGCTTGTAGTCGGAGCATGCACCGTCTACAACGACCTTGATGCTCCGATCTGCAAGAAAGCTGGTGATCCAATTGCACAATTTCTCGGGAAGCCCATAGGAAGGGAGCTTCGAAAGAAGCGCTTTGTGCCAAACCTGTGTGGCTGCTGATTAAAAAGGCTAATTCAGGTTACACAGATATACATATCTCACACACTACTCAAATTCACGACAATTACGCCTGAACGAGCCCTGGGAGCCTTCTTCGCCTCTGAACAGGTACGTACTATTTATTCACCTAGCCTTCTGCCTATTGTGTAGTAGGATAGGACATTTTCCATAAGGCCAGTTGCGTCCCGTCCTTAGTTGTCCGTCGAACCTAACAGCTGTATGGGCCCCTGTATGGTAGACCTTTGTAGGGACAACTAGGTGCGTGAACATATATATATATATATATGTATATATATATATATATATATATATATATATATATATATATATATATATATATCAGAGCCAAGACTGTCTTAACGGCGGCCGCTCTGTCCGTTTTATACAAGCAGGATGGGTGGCAACGCAGGTGCAATGCCGCAGGTGTGCGGTACACGTGTCGTTTACAAGAATTCTGTCTAGCTAGACCGACGCCACCGCACCTACAACGGTGCAGGTGCCGTCATATATATAACAGTGATTTCATAGTTTATGATCAACTGAGAACAAAATAATAACTCCATTAATTTTATTTTATTCAAATAATTTTACTTGAGAGAGCAGAATAACATTGAGAATGTTATTCTGCTCTCTCATCAGAATCTGAATCTACATATTATGTGGAGGCAGGTAGTTAGTGAACCATATTTGGGCTATTTTTAATAGGGTTATCACTGCACTTTTGAGTTAATCTCTGTATTAATACCATAATAATAGATTTAGATCAAATACTTTGTGGCCTTTCTTCGGCCTCCTTGTTTTGTGATCCACGCAACGAACTTAGACAAATATTTAGACAGTAACGTAGGAATAGTCTAAAATGCTTAAAATAAAAAGCAACATTTTAAAAACCCATTTAAGTCGGTTAAAGGAAGCATGTAACGAAAGACAAAAACATAAAGATTTTTAAAGAGGGTTGATTTGTCTTAGGTCTGTCATATAAACAAGTAATTATGACTTTCTATAGTCCAGCCTACCTTTGTATATGTAGTGTCATGTAGACGTAATGTTTAAAAAGGTGTTTATGAGAAGAGACGTTTTGATATGTGTAATATTTTAATTACACTGCTTTTAACTTGTTATACCTTAACACTAATATATATTGTCTACTACATATACATATTTCTTTGTTGCAGAGACAGCTTTTCCATAGGTACTGCTAATTTTTAATTGGAATTGGGAACAGATATGCCTATCGTAGGCCCGACGGATTTTCATGGAATAAATATTAATAGGTAGGTGATTATACATGTGTAGTGTCTATGTTTGATATTAATTTTGTGTCTATCTCTACGATAAACAAAAGGTAGGAAGAATTATACTTACTTATCTTCACGCACAATCCCTGACGGGGTAGCCAGAGAGAACAGATCGCCAAGTGTCACGATCCTTACATACCTCTTTCGCTTCTTTCAGATTCATTATTTTCTTCATACATGCACGTCTAGGTATCCGAGTACTCTTGACCCTCCCCTCTTCGAGCAATTTGCTCACATGGTCTTCGAAAGTTAGTCTCGGTCTACCTCGACACCTTTTAATATTAACTTTCGCGCTATATATTTTCTTCACCATTCGGTCTTCACTCATTCAATTATAGTAAGTCATATTTAATTAAAGTGACAGACCTTGCGACAAATCAACCTTTATTAAATTGCTTTTTATTTTTATCTTTCGTTACTTATTTCTTATATGACCGAATTTTTAGAGAGCTTTATTTAATCAGTTTTTGGATTCAACGTATACAGCCGTCGTGGAATATTTCAAAATGTTTAATTTTGCTTTTTTATTTCATTAGATTATAAGTTATTTGATTGATAACTCAGACGATTGAAAAATCAGCCCTTACTCATGAAATTTGGCATATATTTTTGATATTTGATGGCTCTTATTAAGTATGCGAAATCAATTAAGTGTGCTGGTTCAATAGTTTTCGTTGGCGAATATTTTTAACAAATTTCGTCGCAAACATTGGAGCCAACATTCGCCTACAACTAAATTACTACGAAATTCCGCACAAATATTTCAACACATCGACAAAATGAGAAATTCCTGCAATTTTTGTCGCGAACATTCCTCCCGAACGCCATAATACCGGTAATGTAGCAGCTTTAACTACGCTTCACACGTTATTCTCATTATGTTTTTATGTTTTGTACTCGATGTCCAATACCTTATATCATCCATTGGGTGTCGTAAGAGGCAACATAGAGAAATTAAAAAGAAATGGGCCGCGGCATTTTCCTGAAAACGACTAAAAATAATAAATAAAACTGTAAAAAAGGGAAATACAACATAACAACGTAAGCATGACAACATACAAGGGAGACCTTTGTTGTAATCAATTCTAAAATGAATGAATAAACAACGACTAAATAAAATTTTGAAGTTTGATTAATAAACCACAAGCTGTTCTTATATAAATGACTGTAAAATTGTCAATAAAAGTGTAATAAACCTAGGGACCAGTCTTGCGAGTAAAATGCTCCGGAATTGCGTGAGCGGAATTTTGCTCATTCGCGGTAAGTTGAAATCCGTAAAAGACGTCACAAAGGAAATTTTACTCGTAAAATTCGGCTGTGCTCATAATATTCACAAACTTATCGAAGCCTTAAAACTCATAAGTATGAGAGTACGCAAAAATAAACTGTAAGCTATGTTTATCGAATAAGCTCTATAAAAAAAATTACGTAAACAAATATTTTGCGTTATTTCCCTACTATTGGTCAAAATTGGACCATAGGCTATAATAGTTATTTTAAAAAGGTACTTACGCTCTTTTTGAAAATAACTAGATACGTAACGTAGCTATTTGTTAAAATAACTTTTTTATTATTACTATCGTATAGGGATCTAAACGATTATACAGCCATGAACGTGATGAAAATACTTTGATATAAATGCTTAAAGCGTTTTGTGTGAAAAATTTAGACCATAGAAATGTACATCAGTCCTAGTTTAAGAATATAAATGCAGATGCCACACCTTGAGGGCTAAGATGGAATACCCTCTACACTCACTATACCAAACACAGCGGCACACATGGCTTTTTTTTGTGCACCAAAATGCCACAGTACTACCTTTCCAATTATATGAATTTCCTTCCCCTTTTTTATAGTAAATACTAAAATGTCGTAGTAAATTTTTCGACGTTCGTATATTATTACATGTTTCTTATCATTTGATCTAGTAAGGTACGTTGGGGTAATACCGGACGGATTTTCGAAAAGTTGGAAGAGTCTGCCAAAAACTTTAATTTCTCGACATTCGTATACGTCAGATTTATGGAACATGGAGCAAACCGTTAATCGTTAAACGTAGTTTAGCTCTGAGAATCTTTTGCTTGTGTAAACTCAACGGTTTCTGCTTTAAAGGTGTGCGAAAACTAGACATACTTTTTTATATGCATAATTAAAAATTGGCCATTAAGGGGTAAGACCGGACTTAAATTTAAAACCACTTCTACTGCTCAGAGAAAAAAGTTTATAAAAGAGATTTGTCCTATCTTTAACGCTCAAAAACATATTTCAATATGATCTATAAATTACTAGAAACATAAATGTTCCAAACGATTTTCTCTTTTTTTGTTTCTTGCCATCCGATCTTATCCCTGATATAAAGAAATTGTAATTTTATGTTTCTCAAACTTTGTTATGACATAAGATGGAATTACTCAATATAAGAGAAAGATCGGATGCATTTGATTTTATATGGGAAAAAAAATAACAGTCAGGACTGGCGAAATGCCCTGGGATAATGCAGGAGTTAAGGAAGATATAAATATTTTAACAAAGCGGCATTTATTATTATAAATTATTTTTTAAATAATTATTATAAATTACATTTTGATTTGTAATAGAGGATAGATATAGATATCTATGGGCCGCAGCAATCACTTAACATCAGGTGGACTGTGTGCTCCTTTGTCACCCTTATCCTATAAAAAAATGTATTTTAATGTGTACTTAAAAGTAATAAAACCATCGTATTGTTTTATTACTTTTAAATATACAGACTTGCTAACGAGACTGACAGCCGTATTCAAGAACGATACATACATAAGTATGGCAGCAACACTATGCTAAGTAAGATATTTCTCACTGCGTTCGTGATGGCAGGCCGTTCATTTCATGAACAATACTTAGTCGACTCTTTGTTGTGCGGACACATAGCACTGAATGGGGCGCCGTGATTGGTTAACGTTATGACGCGACTTCACTCGAATTGAATGACAGATAAACGTCAACCAAGATATCGTTATATGTCATTTGAATTCTCAAATTCTCAATATAAGTTTACTTACAAACATTTTATTTCCGTTTCATTATGAATACGAGTTGCTTGCCTATAATGAATGCGAAATCACCTAAAATATGGTAAGTATTATATTTTATGTTTCTGTTTGTTTCGTTGTCAAATAATAACACGTGTAGTTTTCTTTCAGTTCAAAGAAGCTACCATTTACTTCTTCGGAAAGAGAATTACACCCGTATTCAAGAACGATACTATGCGTACGCACAGTAGGCTTTAACGCACAGTGGACGAAATTTTGTTTCATAAACGTCACTTGAGTGTTAGACGACACTATGCGCTCATTATAATGAACGCACAGATAAAGTAGCTCGCTAGCTACTTTACGCTACGCATAGTGCGACAATTAATGCAAATGTCAAACTGGTATGGGTTATATTTGTTGATTAGTGATACGTTGATTTGTTTTGTTTGAATAATTGCGATGGATTACAGCAGCGAAGATGATTTTGATAATTATATCCAGGAGAGAATAAACGTACAAAGAAGGATTAGCACAAGAAAAGTGATACGTGACTTTCAAAATCCTTTTGATTATTACAGTGCCAATGAATTTAAAAGTCGCTATAGGTTTTCCAAAGATATTGTATTAAATATACTTCTGCCTCTAATTAATGCTGATCTTTTGAAAGTTACCAGTAGAGGCCTTCCAGTGCCTCCTATTTACCAGTTACTAGTGGCGTTAAGATTTTATTCATCTGGGAGTTTCCAGGTTTGTAATAATAATTTAGTTAATCTACCTATCAACAGTTCCAAATCCATATTATTTTAATAATATTTATGCATAGGTAACCAATAATAACAATGGATATAATTCCTCTTAAAATTAACATTAAAAAGTAGATATAGGTAGATCTATGTAATTAAACTTTTCATCACATGTATTTTCATGGTAATTATATAAGTTACTATGTTAAATTAGTAAATACTAACAGCATATTTTTTTTTCTAGATTATTACCGGAGATCTCATTAAAGTAAGCCAACCAACTGTCTCAAGGATAGTTAAAAGAGTTTCATATCTGTTTTGTCTAAAGATGCAGCGATTTGTGAAGTTTTCTAGCAATCTGGAGACAATCAAGGAACAATTTTACAGCATAGGAAGCTTTCCTGGTATCATTGGTGCCATTGATGGAACTCATATACCAATTCAAAATCCTGGTGGTTCTTATGCAGAAGTATTCAGGAACCGTAAAAAATATTTTTCAATAAATGTACAAATTGTATGTGGGCCTGACCTACAAATATATGACATTGTCGCTGATCGACCTGGTTCAGTACATGACAACCGAATTTTCCAAGCTTCCACGTTAAAAAGAAAGATGGAACAAGGTATCATTGATGGTATACTTTTGGGAGATAGTGGATATGGTTGTCAAAAATATTTACTGACACCAGTTCTACAACCAGAAACAGTTTCAGAAGAAAATTATAATAAGGCACATATAAAAACAAGAAACACTGTGGAAAGAACAATAGGTGTCTGGAAGAGAATTTTTCCTTGCTTATCAAAAAAGTTGGCAACAAATCTGACAACAACATGCCATATTATTGTAGCAACTTCAGTTTTATACAATATTTGTAGATCTCATGGCATTGTTGAAGAAATAGATGATATTGGTTATACAACAACTACTCGACAAAACATTAGAAATACACAAGCATACAACAGGGAAGGACTGTTATTTAGGAGATTATTTATAACCCGCCATTTTTAATGTTTAGTTAAATAAAATAAAACAAATTTATTTCAATTTTCAAGTTGTTTTTTTAATAATTCTATTTCCATCTTAATTTTTTCTAATTGTAAACTATGGAGTTGCTTCTCAAAGTTAATTAAATTTTTTTCCCGTTTTAACAGAACCCTCTCTCTATTAAGCCTTAATTCATGCAATTCTGCATCCTGTTGCATATTTATGGTGCATCGCTTTATTCTCACTTCTGTTTCACTACAAAATTTCTTAAGACCTGAAAGATAAATAAAGTACATATAAACAGGAGAGCTGCAATAGCATGTGATTGATTTGCTTAGTAAACACGAGCATCTGAGTTTAATCCCTGTCCATACCACTTAAATTGACAAAATATTCAGTTACCTTTGGTAGTAGTAGATATTTCCTTTCGTTTTTTTGGTTTAGAGGGAACATTATTGTGTACTTCGCTTATAAAATTAGTATCCACATTCATAACTGTAAAAAATACATTTTAATGTAAGTATTGTATATGAAAAAAACTTATAAAACTACTTAAATATATTATTATGATAATAATAAAAACATACGGACCCTCAATGTAATCGTCACAGTTTTCCGATTCATCTAAGTTGGTAACAATTTTTGTGTTACTTCCAGTCACTACTTCAAGATTCAAAACTGAAACATAAAATAATGATTACTGGACATAACATATACACAATGCTTACATGTACATATTTTGCTCAAAGAATACAAATAACCAGGAATACAAGTCGTTAGAGACAAACATAGGTGTATAGACTCCTACAAATAGAGAACACCTAGGTCTATCCCTTCAGGAAATATAATATGTGTGTATGTATATTGCCTTACCATTATTATTAGTTCCTTTTTTTATATCTACTTCACTTTGTGTCAAGTCATCTGAAACTAAAGAAAGTAAATCATTAATAGGTCATTGATAATAATTATAAATTTTACTAGGTAAATTAGGTTTTCTGACCGTTTGTACTAACTTTCTATAGAATTGGAGTCAATAACCCCTGGAACAGTTAAATTTATGAATGGACAAATTGCATCCACAACATTATCTGATAATAAAGTGGGGCCACCTTCCGGTGGTCCTCCACCTGTACGTCTCATATGCGTGGACTCTAGAGAAAGCTCCTTCTTTCTTTGAGATTTTATATTTTCCCAACATCTTTTTAATTGAATGTTATTCCTAGGCGTAATATAGGACTGTGCATTATAGGCAATCGTCAGTTCATCCCAGGCCTTCTTCTTTAACTCTATGTTTTGAGCGTGTGTACGCTTATCCTCAATAATGGGCCGCTCCCGCACTAAAGCGACAATTAATTCTCTTTCCGAAGAAGTAAATGGTAGCTTCTTTGAACTGAAAGAAAACTACACGTGTTATTATTTGACAACGAAACAAACAGAAACATAAAATATAATACTTACCATATTTTAGGTGATTTCGCATTCATTATAGGCAAGCAACTCGTATTCATAATGAAACGGAAATAAAATGTTTGTAAGTAAACTTATATTGAGAATTTGAGAATTCAAATGACATATAACGATATCTTGGTTGACGTTTATCTGTCATTCAATTCGAGTGAAGTCGCGTCATAACGTTAACCAATCACGGCGCCCCATTCAGTGCTATGTGTCCGCACAACAAAGAGTCGACTAAGTATTGTTCATGAAATGAACGGCCTGCCATCACGAACGCAGTGAGAAATATCTTACTTAGCATAGTGTTGCTGCCATACTTATGTATGTATCGTTCTTGAATACGGCTGTTAATTGTCGCTTTAGTGCGGGAGCGGCCCATTATTGAGGATAAGCGTACACACGCTCAAAACATAGAGTTAAAGAAGAAGGCCTGGGATGAACTGACGATTGCCTATAATGCACAGTCCTATATTACGCCTAGGAATAACATTCAATTAAAAAGATGTTGGGAAAATATAAAATCTCAAAGAAAGAAGGAGCTTTCTCTAGAGTCCACGCATATGAGACGTACAGGTGGAGGACCACCGGAAGGTGGCCCCACTTTATTATCAGATAATGTTGTGGATGCAATTTGTCCATTCATAAATTTAACTGTTCCAGGGGTTATTGACTCCAATTCTATAGAAAGTTAGTACAAACGGTCAGAAAACCTAATTTACCTAGTAAAATTTATAATTATTATCAATGACCTATTAATGATTTACTTTCTTTAGTTTCAGATGACTTGACACAAAGTGAAGTAGATATAAAAAAAGGAACTAATAATAATGGTAAGGCAATATACATACACACATATTATATTTCCTGAAGGGATAGACCTAGGTGTTCTCTATTTGTAGGAGTCTATACACCTATGTTTGTCTCTAACGACTTGTATTCCTGGTTATTTGTATTCTTTGAGCAAAATATGTACATGTAAGCATTGTGTATATGTTATGTCCAGTAATCATTATTTTATGTTTCAGTTTTGAATCTTGAAGTAGTGACTGGAAGTAACACAAAAATTGTTACCAACTTAGATGAATCGGAAAACTGTGACGATTACATTGAGGGTCCGTATGTTTTTATTATTATCATAATAATATATTTAAGTAGTTTTATAAGTTTTTTTCATATACAATACTTACATTAAAATGTATTTTTTACAGTTATGAATGTGGATACTAATTTTATAAGCGAAGTACACAATAATGTTCCCTCTAAACCAAAAAAACGAAAGGAAATATCTACTACTACCAAAGGTAACTGAATATTTTGTCAATTTAAGTGGTATGGACAGGGATTAAACTCAGATGCTCGTGTTTACTAAGCAAATCAATCACATGCTATTGCAGCTCTCCTGTTTATATGTACTTTATTTATCTTTCAGGTCTTAAGAAATTTTGTAGTGAAACAGAAGTGAGAATAAAGCGATGCACCATAAATATGCAACAGGATGCAGAATTGCATGAATTAAGGCTTAATAGAGAGAGGGTTCTGTTAAAACGGGAAAAAAATTTAATTAACTTTGAGAAGCAACTCCATAGTTTACAATTAGAAAAAATTAAGATGGAAATAGAATTATTAAAAAAACAACTTGAAAATTGAAATAAATTTGTTTTATTTTATTTAACTAAACATTAAAAATGGCGGGTTATAAATAATCTCCTAAATAACAGTCCTTCCCTGTTGTATGCTTGTGTATTTCTAATGTTTTGTCGAGTAGTTGTTGTATAACCAATATCATCTATTTCTTCAACAATGCCATGAGATCTACAAATATTGTATAAAACTGAAGTTGCTACAATAATATGGCATGTTGTTGTCAGATTTGTTGCCAACTTTTTTGATAAGCAAGGAAAAATTCTCTTCCAGACACCTATTGTTCTTTCCACGGTGTTTCTTGTTTTTATATGTGCCTTATTATAATTTTCTTCTGAAACTGTTTCTGGTTGTAGAACTGGTGTCAGTAAATATTTTTGACAACCATATCCACTATCTCCCAAAAGTATACCATCAATGATACCTTGTTCCATCTTTCTTTTTAACGTGGAAGCTTGGAAAATTCGGTTGTCATGTACTGAACCAGGTCGATCAGCGACAATGTCATATATTTGTAGGTCAGGCCCACATACAATTTGTACATTTATTGAAAAATATTTTTTACGGTTCCTGAATACTTCCGCATAAGAACCACCAGGATTTTGAATTGGTATATGAGTTCCATCAATGGCACCAATGATACCAGGAAAGCTTCCTATGCTGTAAAATTGTTCCTTGATTGTCTCCAGATTGCTAGAAAACTTCACAAATCGCTGCATCTTTAGACAAAACAGATATGAAACTCTTTTAACTATCCTTGAGACAGTTGGTTGGCTTACTTTAATGAGATCTCCGGTAATAATCTAGAAAAAAAAATATGCTGTTAGTATTTACTAATTTAACATAGTAACTTATATAATTACCATGAAAATACATGTGATGAAAAGTTTAATTACATAGATCTACCTATATCTACTTTTTAATGTTAATTTTAAGAGGAATTATATCCATTGTTATTATTGGTTACCTATGCATAAATATTATTAAAATAATATGGATTTGGAACTGTTGATAGGTAGATTAACTAAATTATTATTACAAACCTGGAAACTCCCAGATGAATAAAATCTTAACGCCACTAGTAACTGGTAAATAGGAGGCACTGGAAGGCCTCTACTGGTAACTTTCAAAAGATCAGCATTAATTAGAGGCAGAAGTATATTTAATACAATATCTTTGGAAAACCTATAGCGACTTTTAAATTCATTGGCACTGTAATAATCAAAAGGATTTTGAAAGTCACGTATCACTTTTCTTGTGCTAATCCTTCTTTGTACGTTTATTCTCTCCTGGATATAATTATCAAAATCATCTTCGCTGCTGTAATCCATCGCAATTATTCAAACAAAACAAATCAACGTATCACTAATCAACAAATATAACCCATACCAGTTTGACATTTGCATTAATTGTCGCACTATGCGTAGCGTAAAGTAGCTAGCGAGCTACTTTATCTGTGCGTTCATTATAATGAGCGCATAGTGTCGTCTAACACTCAAGTGACGTTTATGAAACAAAATTTCGTCCACTGTGCGTTAAAGCCTACTGTGCGTACGCATAGTATCGTTCTTGAATACGGGTGTGAGTCCCATAGTCACTTGAGTAATCAACGAAAAAATATACACGACCAATGAAAGTTTAACAACCACTGCCATATTTGTAACAGGCAAAGATCGGATAATATTCATCCGATCTTCACTCACGAGGGGAAACATCGGATCTCGGCCTACAGCGATCTTACCCCTGCATGGACCAGCTTTATTTAGCTATAACTTCATAAAAATTAGTATCCACACAAAATAATAACAAAAGAAGCCATATTCTCGCTAAAAATCATAAATAAAAGTGATAGGGAAAGATCGGATGGACAAAAATAATACAAAAATTACAATGTTTTATAAAATGCCACGCAGCACAGGTCCCACTTGCCGGAGTGACTGGCGCGAACTGAGGGTCGGGGCAGGATGAAATGGCGTCGTGTAGCATATTGTTAGCTTTTCAAAATATAGCATAATTCGCCGGGAATTTGAATCCTACGGTCTTGCCCCATCACCGATCTTACCCCAACGTACCTTATATACTTGTATATGAGCCGGTCATATAGCTCAAAGAACCAACAACTGATGGGGAAGATAGATCTTCGAGTGCAACTTCGTGATGGTAAGTGTATGGTGTCGCTGTATCAGCTGAAGTAACGACCTGCAAGCCCGAAGTCAATCCAGTGAGGAGGCTCAGGGCCGCGCTTTACTACCTTTATTACTTAATTCGTTGGGAAGGCCTATGTTCAGCAGTTGATTTGTGAAGGACTGTAACGACGATAATGTTGGGAAAAAAGCAGTATTTAATAAAGAACTATCAATCCATATAGGCTTTGCACGGGTTATTTCTGGATCTCGATAACGCCACCACCGGTAGGTCTGGTAAGAGCTAATTGTGAATTTAAGCCATCAAGGGACCAATTCAAACACTCACAAAAATTCATCAAAGTCGGTCACGCCTTTAGAGGAGTACAGTGACAAAGACACGGTAGAGAAGACTTTTAAGATACCCAAGTCAAATGAATAAGTTTCATATAATTAAGACGCCATTTCTTTATGGCCTGTAATAAAAGAATAAAAAGTTTTTATAAAAATGAATAGCTCACCGTCCGAACCATTTCCTGGTTTGACGCAAAAGGGCTCTTAACGATTAAATTGAATAATGGGTTTGGCGATTCAACCCTTTACCTACTTTTCGTTATATTTTTAAAATAAAATTAGAATATAACTCAAGGGTTTTCCTTGGATCTGCCTAAATAGATTAAGTTTCCTAGAAATATAAAATTTTGTTAATTTTTTTTTTGTAATCCATCATGTCCCTTATATACTTTCGTATGCTACTGTGGTGTAGTTTAACAGGAGTATAATATTTTACCTAGTGAGTACTTGTGTGTATTTCTTTCTATCCATACTATTTTAAGCCTCATATTGTTCAAGTCACTGAAAGTGTTTGTGACAAAAAAAAATTCAATCAAATCAAACAAATTATAAATATTATTTCCGTTAACCATAGCATTAACTTAAAAATTACTTGTTTATAGGTACAGTTGACAGCAGGAATTCAATGTTAAATTGGAACCTGCATAGTTGTGGTTTACGTTGCGAAATTAGGTATCCGCTGAAAGAACTTTCGCAAAACGTCAACAACAAGCTACCATGAATTCAATTATGCAGCATACTGCTGTTACTCATTGTCATGAAACTTTACGACTTTTTGATTTCAAAGACAGTGGCACAGTTATGTTTTGCGGCAAGCTAAGCAGAGGTTATTTATAAATTAGATTATCTACCTTAAAATAACTGTTGTAATTTTTAGTAGAAGAGTATCTACTTCATAATTATAATAAATTTTGCAAATGGGGTTGAGAGTTGAATATGAATTCCTCTGCTTATGGGAAGATACAATATGTCTATTATATTTGCGATCATTCGTGCATCGTAAATATTTGTATTACTCGTAGCTCAACCGATACAATAAATTACGTTTAGGTGTTTTATCTTTGACCTTATCAACTATAATATTTTTTTTAATTATCTCTTTTTAATTTTCTTACGTTGTTATTGTAGCCCATAGACATCTTCATTTATCCTAAATTTAAAAAAAGCCGACTCATTCGTGCTATAACACGTGCAAACGTTCTTTTGTTTGTTTTATAAAATAAAATTTTAGCAATATTCATGGGAAAAATATAAGCTATAACCCATATAATGGCTTATATTTTCTTTTACTTTATCATCACATGACATACATTTTGAATTTCGGATTCGTAATTATGTTAATCGATAACTTCAATTTCTTCCATAACATAAATTTTGGCACAATCATCCATTGTATAAGGAATAATGATTAATTGCTCTCTCGGCAGCTTGGAGCGCTCCATTAAAAATTCAAATAAAGATAAGAAAACAGAGCCTATGGAAGTTTCTTATTTGGTTTGTCATAACTCTGCTTACGTAGGACCTTTATATATTTCACTTTATATTATAGCATAGGATAATATAAACTGAAAATTTATATTGCTTTTTTAAATTAATTACTTAGATACTTAACACTAAATATGATGGTAATTGGCTACTGCAGTCTATTGACTCCTGCAAACAACTTCAAACAATTGTGGCCTGTAGCCATATTTGTTTGAAGGTGCGTTGTCCCCTCTGACGACAAAGATGGAATGTAACAGCCTGTCATTATACTGGCTCCCTATACCCAACACGAACACAGCAGTGCAAGCACTGCTACATGGCGGCAGAAATAGGTTATTTTTATATAGGATAAGGTGGAAAACGAGCATACAGTTCACCTGATGGTAAATGGTTGCTGTGACCCATAGACATCTACATCTATCCTCAATAAATAATCAAATTGTAGATGCGTTCTCACCCGTGAGGACTAAAATGGAATGCCTCTTTTCCAATGAAAACTGTCTCCGGTTCTCTACACTCACCATACGAAACACAGCAGTGTTAATCTGCTATTTTACGCCTTCCCCTGTCGAGCCGACCCTTTCGTGTTACAACTATACTGCAGTATTGGTACCCAGATGGACTCCCAGTTAGTAAAGGAGTCGTACCATTTCGTAAAAAAAGAGAAAGGAGTGATACTTAAGGAACAAAAATATATAAATGAAATTTTAATTTTAAAAAGTTAAAAACTCACTGCAAAGACTAGGTAAAAACATGCACAGAATTTTAAAGCGGAATTCGGGGCTTATATGGCACGGACATTTTTTGGAAATCGGCTTTCACTTTTAAGAACTTAATTTTTTTTTTGTACTTGTACTCAACAAGCTTAAGAGGAAATGCGCGAATGTTCCCGTTTTCATTCTGGTTTATGACCTTATATAAATGAGTTTTTACAGTAAAATAAATATCATCCTCTTCTATGTCTCTATGTTTTCCTTTTCATGATACATTATCTTTATAAGGACCCTTAAAACATGCTCAAAATTGCCTATTTAGACCGCTATC